GGACAGTCCTTGTAGATTGAGGATGCTTTCTCCCAAGAATACCATCTTTATGTCGGAAGTATGCGACTCAAGGTGTTACCGTACCCTCTCTGATGCAGAATGGGAGAGGGAAGAGGAGGGTGTTCGTCCGTGTCTTTTATCAAGGGACACTGAAAAGACCGCAACAGATCTGATGGTCAAGTTATTACACTCGAAATATTGACATTTTACTTAATTTTATGCAGTTTCTTATTCCGGTGCTTTATTTCCACTCTTGGTGTCCTTCTTGACAAGATTTGGTCCTTAATTTTAAATAATTATCTTTTTCATTTATTCGTTTATTTATTTATTTATTTATTTATTTATTTATTTTTCTTACAGCGTTTATCATAATACTCCTCCTCCAGGAAGGATGAATATACGTTAAAAATTTAGTTCCAATAAGCCAGAACAATTTACTCCAGAAGTTCATAAATTTACCCCATGATATAAGAATTATTTATTCTCAGTAGATAAAATTCTAGACTTTGGACTGATATGCGACGACCGCCAATTCTGTTTTTACACTCAGCCACAAAAAGTGAAAGGCACAGGCGGCCTTCATGAGAGGTCGTGTTACATGTTAATAAACCCTTACTCAGTCGGTTATTACTGTTTAACGACATCATTTGATGTCATTAACTGTACAACAGGACGGTTCACGAACCTACATGTAGAGAATGCAATATAACGCTGTCTCATTGTAATTGTACATATATACTGCACCAGTCAATGACATAGCACACAGTATTGGCGTTGTAACAATGGTTGACGAGTTTGAAATTCATGTAAGTGTTTTGACTCTTCCAAATTATGACGTGAGTTTTTCAAACATATTCCAGTTCCGGAGATTTACCACTGACGAATTGTAGTCAAAATATTTCCGGTTCCGGTTCCGGTTACGGAGACTCGGCAACACATTTTCCACAATGACAAATCAATCGCTAAAACTTCTACCTATGAGGGTCACATATGCTTGAGAAATAAATATGGCGTCTTCCGAATGTATTTTATGAAGCATTAATGAAGTGAATTGTATATAAGAGTATGTAATAGTGATAGAGTATCGGGAAGGAAATAACTTTCCTTCAATAATAATGATTGAAAAATACGCCCTGTTGTACTCCAGCGTTTCATGCTTGAAATCCCGCTTTGTAAACAACAAACAACAACAATATCAATTATAAAACGCACACACACTCAAACACAACTATTAGAAAATACACATTAAGCATACAGCACCACTCTTACACATTAACTTATGCACGCTTGCTAATAAATACTATATTTCATTTTTTATTTCAATGATAATGATTACAAAATATGTCCTGTCGTTCCCTGCTTTAAGCTCGAAATTTCACTGTGTAAAAAAAAATCACACATACACACAATGACAGTAAGAAAAGTTAACGAAACATAAACTATATACATGTTAGACTAAGGAAGCATTACGTACATTATTAGTTTTAAATATCTATAAATAAACTTCAGGTGATGATTATTGCACGTGCCTTTGACCCTATGTCGTTTGTTAAGGTCATTGTAGGTGAACAGGATCGTTAAATAATTCACGAGTATTAGATCAATTACAAGAAATTAATCAATACCTGTGATCGATAATCTATAATAACAAGCCAAGCGCGGATAACAAAGAGACAGAGGACATTGATTAATCAATTAGCAATATACATAAATGGTAAATCGATAAAAAAAAATCAATTAATATTATTGATAAATCTTGTTTAAACAGATTTGACGTGAAAGTCACGCGTCAATTATAACCAATGACGTATTTCCAACTTCAATCACATATCTGTTATTGATTTTTATTGATTTGTGAACAAATGATCACCATGTTCAAAAGTCTGTTTTATCTGTCAATTTTTTATCTTGAAGAATTCAAGTATAAATTAATATCGACAGAGTGTCTATTAATAACTGTAATTAACTGGTTTCAGACATATTGAACCACAATGTTTGGACATTTTGAAATTCTAAGATTAATCCTAGAGACTGACGGACATATGTAGTTTGACTATATAAAGTAAGTTTTATTCCTTGTCATTCAAATTTTGTTTCTAATGTTGTAAAAATAAATAATTTCAGTATATATCACATTTGTGGTTAAGTGATAGCAAACTTTCACTGGTCACGGTATTGCAACAAACCAAACGTATGTGTTCTTTAACTCCGGATACTCCGGATACTCCGGTTTCCTCCCACAGCAAGACCCCTCGCACGCTTTCATCCGCGCCAGCAAAAATGGCCTATGATGTATTTGATTAGATTTCTCTCCCAAAGTTTCTAGCTTTTAAAGTTGTCGTCACCACATCATTGATGACGTCACAAAAGAGGTCATGTGAACATTGCACTGTATATGCATTAAAATAGTTGAATATGTGCTCATGAAAGCGATGATATTTTTTAAAGTTTCAAAATTTTCTGGAATTTTCGCAACCCCAAAATTATGATAGAATTGAGAGACCTTAATTCCTTCTTAGTAAGCCTGTATTTATCTTTAAACATCCATAATATCTTACCTAGACTAACTATCTCCTCATACTTTGAATATTTTGTGGATATTTTATCTGTTTGCTGGCGAAAACGATCTGTTTTCATTCAATTAAAATATGAAATAATCATAACATTCATCTGAAATATTGATGCATTTCGTTTCAATTTTATTACAGTTAAGTCTACATTTGTGCTTACTTCGATATCAGAAGTTGTTGGCAATCCTTCACGTGCGTTATCTCAGTTAATGCAGCCTTACCTTTAACTCAGCGTGAGATTAAGTGCGGATTAGCGATATCCGAACCGGGACCATATTCTCTAAAATAAAGATCTTGGATCAAAATTTAATTTCCTTTTTTTCATTCTATCGCCAGCATTCATACTAATATTTGTACCTTGATGAAAAATATCACTTCACATCTGTAGTTTGTTTTGAAGATGAAAATTTGACATAACATGGTGTTATAAAATCTGTTTTAAACTTAATATACGGGTTCATAACGGAAACCAGAACGACAAGATAGCGATCGGTTTTAAAATTAGTTTGTTTTCGTATCATGTGATGTTTTATTGCATGTCGCTCGAGGCGAAATCATTCATTTCATTCGTTAAATGGGGAAGTGTATGATTCTTACAGCGCCATGTATATCAAGATAAAGGAGAAATATAGAAAGGAAAAGCATCTCGTCCCGTGAGACTTTGTACAAGACTTATGTATAACGAGACATTATTCAATGGAAAGATGCAATTAATTGTATCTCGGTCAATTGTTCAAATCCGGAGAAGCGTCGGACCGGATTCGTATCTAAATACTAGTCACGCCACGCCCTTAGAAATCATTAATCGTGACATTTTCTAAAATATTGGTTCAGTCTTTTGAATGCAGCCAATAAAAAGTGTGAATAATCGCAGATTTTGAAATAAGTCTCGACAAATTTAAGTAATTATAAGAAAACATCACCTTCAAATCGTATTTAAAATCTCGCGGAAAGGTAAAAATATGTCATGCATATGAGCATGCAAGATTGAATTTCTAAAACGTATTTGAATCAATTACCGCTCTTTTCATTCTGGTTCAATTTATTGTATGAAATGTTTTCGGTTTTTACTTTCTTGATTTGAGATAAATTTTATGAAGATGATCCTATCACACATAGTGATCATCAGGCAGCCGTGATCTCTCCGTCGTGATTTATGTGGATCCTGTACGCGCGAGCTGTGTTCCTGTGTAGAGACCGAAGTTCAGTACAGAAGCGTAGGAGTACGAAGGGAAAAAAACACGCGAGCTGTATATTTACATTGTCATTATATGTTTGCGTATATGTATGAACTGTGTATACACTGGTACGTCGCTTCTGTACACCATGCAGTTAATCGTTTGTTTGAAGAAATGTATATCAGATATACACCACGTAATACAGTATTTATATCATCATTGACGGGTTCAAATGTATTTTATGACCATGATTTTTTTTTATCTCAAACGTGTCCTGATAACTCGACACGAATGAATATTACTCACCAAACAAATAGTTAGCAATTTTGTATGATATGTATATCCGCCAATCACGAAAACAGTAATCGGACGACTTCGAGATAAACCGAATTTTCCACTTAAGAACAACTGCCAAAAAGACGATTAATCTTTTCAACATATAAATGGAGACGTTGCTCATTGAGCTTTCGATGTTGTTTTGTGTGCAATATATCGATGTGGTGTTGTTCATTAAGATGTGTGGCTCTATATTGTAGGCTTATGGTTAATTAAGCTCTATACTCTAGGCCGATGGTAAATGTGGCTCTCTACTCTAGGCCGATGGTAAACGTGGCTCTATATTCTAGGGCGATGGTAAATGTGGCTCCATACTCTAGGCCGATGGTAAATGTGGCTCTATATTATAGGGCGATGGTAAATGTGGCTCTCTACTCTAGGCCGATGGTAAATGTGGCTCTATATTCTAGGGCGATGGTAAATGTGGCTCTATACTCTAGGCCGATGGTAAACGTGGCTCTATATTCTAGGGCGATGGTAAATGTGGCTCTATACTCTAGGCCGATGATAAATGTGGCTCCATACTCTAGGCCGATGATAAATGTGGCTCTATACTCTAGGCCGATGATAAATGTGGCTCTCTACACTAGGCCGATGGTAAATGTGGCTCTATACTCTAGGCCGATGGTAAATGTGGCTCTAGGCCGATGGTAAATGTGGCTCTATACTCTAGGCCGATGGTAAATGTGGCTCTATACTCTAGGCCGATGGTAAATGTGGCTCTATACTCTAGGCCGATGGTAAATGTGGCTCTATACTCTAGGCCGATGGTGAATGTGGCTCTATACTCTAGGCCGATGGTAAATGTGGCTCTATACTCTAGGCCGATGGTAAATGTGGCTCTCTAATGGTGAATGTGGCTCTATACTCTAAGCCGGTGGTAAATGTGGCTCTATACACTAGGCCGATGGTGAATATGGCTCTATACTCTAGGCCGATGGTAAATGTGGCTCTATATTCTAGGGCGATGGTAAATGTGGCTCTATACTCTAGGCCGATGGTGAATGTGGCTCTATACTCTAGGCCGATGGTAAATGTGGCTCTATACTCTAGGCCGATGGTAAATGTGGCTCTATATTCTAGGGCGATGGTAAATGTGGCTCTATACTCTAGGCCGATGGTAAATGTGGCTCTATACTCTAGGCCGATGGTAAATGTGGCTCTATACTCTAGGCCGATGGTAAATGTGGCTCTATACTCTAGGCCGATGGTGAATGTGGCTCTATACTCTAGGCCGATGGTAAATGTGGCTCTATACTCTAGGCCGATGGTGGATATGGCTCTATATTCTAGGCCGATGGTGAATGTGGCTCTATACTCTAAGCCGGTGGTAAATGTGGCTCTATACACTAGGCCGATGGTAAATGTGGCTCCATACTCTAGGCCGATGGTGAATGTGGCTCTATACTCTAGGCCGATGGTGAATATGGCTCCATACTCTAGGCCGATGATAAATGTGGCTCTCTACTCTAGGCCGATGGTGGATATGGCTCTATATTCTAGGGCGATGGTAAATGTGGCTCTATACTCTAGGCCGATGGTGAATGTGGCTCTATATAAATGTGGCTCTATACTCTAGGCCGATGGTGAATGTGGCTCTATACTCTAGGCCGATGGTAAATGTGGCTCTATATTCTAGGGCGATGGTAAATGTGGCTCTATACTCTAGGCCGATGGTGAATGTGGCTCTATACTCTAAGCCGGTGGTAAATGTGGCTCTATACTCTAGGCAGATGATAAATGTGGCTCTCTACACTAGGTCGATGGTGAATATGGCTCTATACTCTAGGCCGATGGTAAATGTGGCTCTATACTCTAGGCCGATGGTAAATGTGGCTCTATACTCTAGGCCGATGGTAAATGTGGCTCTATACTCTAGGCCGATGGTAAATGTGGCTCTATACTCTAGGCCGATGGTAAATGTGGCTCCATACTCTAGGCCGATGGTGAATATGGCTCTATACTCTAGGCCGATGGTAAATGTGGCTCTATATTCTATCTACATCCAATCCGTTTAACAAGATTTAGTGCTAAACATATTTAACACATTCACAGATAACTGGTAAATCTAAACAAACACGGAGAATTCTTTATAATGACACTTTCATAATAGCTGGATTTACTACAGCTAAAGATATGGAGCTAGAGCACGCCCCTAAATAGGTATTTGTCACGTGGATGTGGCAAAGTCGTACAAAAGTGTACATTTCATGGTAACAATAGAGAGGTCCGGACCATACTAAACCTACATCATATCCACTTTAATTGTCCCTTTTTGTTACTGGTTTAAAATGTAACACTGCACATGCTCAGGAACAAAAGAAGATTCATGTCAATGATAAATACATTCATCGATCTCCAACTGGCAGGGCCAATTTCGCGTGATATTTATTTCCGTGTACGGGTAAATGTTTACAGTAGTATATTTTGACAAAGCTACACTTGTACTTCTACTTACAGAACGCAAGTTTTAGTTAAAATACACCTGGCAGACTGTATAATAAAAAAAATCATGATTTATAATAAGGATCGGTAGAACAAATAAACTCAGATGATGTCGGTTTGTTGTTTTTATGTTCAACTACATTGTCTTGAGCTTCTGGCTATTTATAGCACGTACGTAATACCGTCATAACTGATTTGTGAAATGATAAACTATCACGTGACCAATAAACAGGTAAGAATGACACATTTACACTGTTGAATTAGTACGAGAACTTACCCCATAACGGAGAAAATATAGGTCGCTCTTCTCTCTTACCCCATTCCCGAACAGAAATCTTAAATGTTTGGTAAGACGTATTTTGTTTGTTCACAAACAGTAGCGAGACAGTGATCACAAATTTTCCGAACTATGTTAAACATTCTAAAGTCTTTTTTTCCCGCCGACTTTCTATATTTAAGTTTTCGCGGTATCGTTAAGGTGTTACCTCCAGATTGTGCTACTTCTGGGGTGCCTAAACTATCAAGGTGTTCTCCAAAACAAAATGGCCGGAGTGGCACCAACAAATCTTATTATCAACGATGTAAACCTCCTTCGGGAGTAATCAATCCTACTATTCATTCTATTTCAAAATCATTATTTGAGTAAATTGTCCCATTAAGAAAAAAAATTGTCATTATGTCCCGTTCAACCTGGGGATTCAGTTTTACGTAAGAAATATTCCTTATTTTTAGCGTGTGTAATATCTTTTGATCGGTCGGATATCTCCTCTATAGATACAATAAAACACATTACGTTAACTCGTGGGTATTGTACTCTGCATTTGAGAACCTATTGGGTACAATTTCCAAATGTAGATATAATCAAATGTCGTTTATAAATTACTCCAGGGGTAAAAGATGGGTCAGTTTTACAGTTTACACTAACTCCTTAAAATCAAAATCAAATGATTGTTGTAGATTAAAGTAAATAAAAGTACTGCTTGCTTAAATAGGAGATATCATTCACTGGTACTGTCTTGGTTCAGTTAAAAAATACGTGTATTTTCTTTTATTTTGATACTTTACACCACGCGCAATGTAATAAACCACAATGTTGCAAGCTCCCCGATTCCAGCCCCTCTCCAGCACCTCCCCCCTCCTTCCACCCCGCCAACTCCCAAGCAAAATATATGGGGAATTTAATTAAAATAAAAATGATGGCTTTAATGCAGAATTATATTTGTTTTAAAAATACATTAATATCCTTCCAGTTCAGATCTTTCGATATCTACCTAATTTGCATAACTTATGTCAAATTTAGCTGTGATAATGGACCTTAATTAATTTCAATTCAGTATCGAACTAAAAGGTGCATTAAAACATTTTTAAAAATGATTACAAATACGTACTTCTTTTAATTAAGATCATTAAAAAGATTCCTTCAAATCCTGTTTCGGCCATTATATTACAAATTGTTGATAAAACGCTATTTTCGACTGCCTATATCCACATTCATTAGATGAGATGTGTGATAGGAAAGGATTAGTCATTTTTGTAAAATCTTATATAACTATGCAAACAACGTTACATTTATAAATGTTTGCTCAATTTATAAAATTTATGGAGAAAAACGCCAGTCATTAAATCGATAAGAAATTCATGAATGTGTGAAAAAATCTATTAATATCTCCGGTAGTTCATTCGATAATACGGTTGTGATGCAAGGTTGTGTAATTAAGCCCCCATCATCATCTCTCTCGTCGAGTGTGGTTCAGATAGACGGGAGCTGACTGGCTAAATTCTTCTATAAAGATGTATAGGGTTGTGGTTTATCAATAGAATTATCATAGTAAAAGATCCTGGCGCATATTTCTGAGATATGAAGCTAGTTACTAGGGTCTCTGTCCTGGCAAATAGTCAACGTTTTAACATACAAGCCTTTCATATGTAGAGCCGACACGATAGTCTACGGTGTCACCTGTTTTATTTGTTAAACCGAGAACAATTATCTATTTCAGCGAGACTGTTTAAAACGGCATAGATTTCCTTCTAACTGAAATATCTGTGTGTGACTAGTGGATGTTTGACTTTTTTTGAACTGTGTAGGGTATACATGTTTCTCATAGTGGTATACTCCAGAGTAGTGGAGAAACCTTTGAACTGTATAAAGTTACTACAGGTATCATACATATATATATATATATATACACCTTACACAACATATATTTCACATGTGGTATGTAATTGATAAATGTTATGTTCCTGTTAAAAGTTCAACAATGCTGACTTAATCATATTTTAAGACGAACAATTACTGCTTCGTATATTTTTTTCATGTTTGATTGAAGCGAGAGTCGTGTCTTTGCATTTGTAGATGTTGACTCAATAGGTAAGTGGCATTTTAAGATAAACCTTCTCTGAAGTGGCGTTTGTGTGGTTAAATTACACCAAGAGAGCTCAATATATACCATTCTCGGTAAGGTGAGCATTATTGTTCTCAATGATATAATGTAAAATAACATTCATGCTAAACTATTTGTCAAACATTTTATCACAACTTGTATTCTCAATTTTTCAAGCTTTCTAGTCGAATGAAATGTGACTGATTCCAGTAAAGGAATGAACCTTAGTATCAAGTCGCTTTATTCTGAAAATGTCTTTAATAATCAAAAATACCAAATCCTTCATGCCAAAAATGGCCTCTACTCTATTTCTCAGTGGCTAATTTTCGAAACCGGGAATTTTAGCAACTTGTCATTGAACCAACCTCGGCAGTTACGTCATGACATGATTTATCCGTTTGAACTGTCAACGTTTAAGTCTCTCCGAATTACTCAAGCTTCGATCTCTATGTGTTTGAGTGCTTACTGTGGTCATACAACAAGAAAACCGTGGTCACAACAGATTAAAAAATTGTTTTTGTTAAAAGTTTTTTCCCTTCAAAAATTTATTTTTGATATTCGGAGGATGATCGTCATCCGTCAAAGATGAAAAACAGACCAAAATGAAATATCGATGGAACAAATTTGTTGTACCACTAATGAAGTTTGTTTGGTATTGTAAAGACAAATGACACGTCATTGAACGTCAGGGACAACATACACAGAAAACGGAAATCAACGGAGTTTAACGATAACCAGAAACAGGATGGCAGATTTCGCCTTACCGAATCCCGATACATTGTATATGGATTCGCTGTACGGGATACAGACAAAAAAGCTGTCTGAAAAATAAACAACACATTTTCATCCAAATTATGAAAGAAATGAAAAATCACTATCAGTTTGGATGAAATTTATAGGTTTTGTCAAAATCGTAGCGGTCCGAAGTGATCGACATTAAAGAGAGGTAAACGTATCAAGCTTATTAACATCATCATAATTGTCGTTACTCCCCGAGTGATGTGGAAGTTTAAAACCATATGGTCGTTTTCTCGACACGAAACGGATATAGGTAATTCACGTCAAGTAGGTTTCAAGATATATTTCCTCAAATGACACAAAACAACATAAACACTTAATACTGATATACTTCTAGATACTGTAAGCGTATTGTCACGAAGGTCACAGCACTCGTTATACGGAGGAATCGATTCTGGGGCCAAGTAGAAATTTCTAACAATTGTTAACAAACTAAAGCTTAAATATTCTGATGATACCATTTTTTAAATCCCTGGTACGTAATATTGCAATAATCAAAATTAATCTTTTTTCAAACATACTTGCGTCAAGATCAAAGAATTGCGTTCATCCGTTTCGTTACAATACCGTAGCAAAGGCTATGTAATCATTTATATGATATTTTCGGAGAGCTAAGTAAGTTTTTATACTGATATGTAAATTTTCTCTATGAAGATATATATTTCGAGGAATTCAAACTAAATTCTTTATTTTTCAAACGCTTTCTGACACAAAAGTTACATGTCACCTTCAAAAGGTGTTCAAATCCTTTAAATTTTCGGCGATATGTATTTCTTATGAGTATTACAACTTGTCCATGAGTCGAATTTTGCTACAATGCAATTGGAAGTCAGATAGCAAACATCCCCAACCAGTATACTTTTTAGATATTCGATATACAGATAATTTAGGTCGTCTTAAAAAAATCAGTAAGGAGTTCTATACCTGAGATATGCGAACGTCCCCGGGGTCATGA